TGTTCTCTCCCAACAATAAAAACTATTTGCCCCGGGAGATCGGGCGATGGTTAACATCGAGCCCTGCCTTGGCCATATCACAGTCCGGTGGTCTCCATGGTGTTTTTGCAGCTTTAGAGCATCAGATCATGTGTTTCTGCTCCGTAATGTAAGGTTGAAGGGTAACACTGGTTTGTTTTTGTCTCTCAGTTTTAGATCTGCCGCTGTGCCAGGACACTCTGGATTATGAGGACAAGACTTCTGTGCCGTACGCCCTCCATCCCAACCCGGCGCTCTGGAGCCCCAAAACTCGCCGCCTGGAGGTCAGCGTCATTCCGAGGCCACGCCCATCCCCTATCCGGCCTCGCATCGACCCGTGGAGCTTCATCTCTGCTGGCGGCGGCATCTCAGGCGGCGGCCGTAGCCCGCTCCGGTCGGACGGCCACCCCCTGGGCTACCAGCCGTCCCCCACCAACCCCTTCACCAGCTGCGACCCTTTCCCCTCCCCGGACTGCGACCCCTTCACCCTCAAGGCGGACCCTTCCTGCAGCTCCGACGGCTCCTCCCCCTTCGACCCTTTCTCCGCTCCCTTTCCGACCTCCCGCTCGGCGCCCTGCTCCGCCAACGGCTCCCCGACGCTGCCGTCGTTCCGCATCGCGCCCATCAGCCCGGCGGACCCGGCCTTCATGGACCTTCGCTGGGCGGCCTGCGGCAGGCCTCTGGATATGACCAAAGAGAGGGCGCTCCCCAGCAGAACTCTGGGGCTGAAGCCCTTCAAGTCTCCGACGCAGCTCAGAGACGATCGGTTCTGAACGCAGACGGGGATTTTCTGAAACGCAGCCGATCAGTCCAGGAACATTTTCACTACTGTTTATTTCTCCAGAATAAAAAGTCTGGAAAGGGAGGGAGCGGCGGGCATGGAGGGGCTTATTTATATACCAGCCTGGTGCTTTGAGAAGCAGAACACCAGTGGAAAGGTGGTACAATGCATTGTGGGATATCAGCCTGTGAACCAATCGCTGGTGCCAATTTCATCTTTCCTGTGTGTCCCTTTTGAAGGAGCAGAATACAGATCAGCAGCCTCATCTTGAGCTTCTGTCAGCGCTGCTCCTATCACCCGCTTTCATCTCCAGGAGGCTTTGAAGCGTTGTGACAATGCAGAGGTGGATCAGGCCATTTTTCTCCTTTTTTACAGCTTTATTCGCCTCTAACGGCTCCGCAGACTGAAAGCATTCAGGACAATGAAAGAAAATTGGTGTGCCTTTATTTTGTGAAGTCTTTTTTTTTTTCTTTTTGTTAATATATCTCTTAAAGGTTCCCTGAACCGTTTATCTGGTTCTCAGATAAAATGCTATGAAAAAATTTGACCTAAATTTCCAGATCATGTACAAAAAAAAAAAGAAAAAAACACCAAATCATCTGCGTTTGAGTGTGCATCATTGTTTGAAGAAAGCTTCTTTTCTCTCTACTTTTTTTTTTTTTTCTTTATGGGAGAATCCACTCAGTAGATATTCTCGGCCGCTCGTGAAACTCAAGACAAAACCGCGACCCGAGGGCGAAGCGGAAAGCATTCCAGTCACATTCCTCGGGAAATGCCAGGAATTGGGCCAGAGCCACTGGGCTGGCAGGCGACGCGGCGAGGCACAGGAAGCGGGACGGGGAGCCCTCTGCACCCCTCCTCCTCACGCCAGAGAGCGCCGCCGAGCATCGCCATGCCGCCGGACAAAAGGTGCTTACAAAAAGCCGTTTTGCGGCCGTGTGAGGTGCCAGGCGGGGATTCACGTGCGGTCGGTGCATCTACAGATGGCGGGGACACAAATAGACTTTATTACGTTCGTAAAATCTTTGTGTGGTGTTTATAAAAAGCTTTGAAAGCTTTAATAGAAGGAAATCAACTCATTTAAAATCTGCAGTCGTTACATAATTAGAATCTGGAGTTTATAATAAAACAGATTTAACGCATTATTGCATCTTTCCACTTTCAGCTTTTATTCAAAAACTCCAAGCTGCTCTTTTTCAGAAAGATTTGTCCGTATTCTGAAGTACTTAAATCCAACAAATAGGTCTGAATTTTAATTTTCTTTCCTTAATAAAACCCTTCCACATCAGGATGTTAATGATTCAATTAGTTAAAACCCCGCTGCGTGTCCCCGTTTGGCCCGCTCTGAGGTTTTAACATCCCCCGCTATCCGCAGGTCCCTCTGTCACACGTGCCACCGCCAGGTTGCCAAGCAACTAGCTGAGACATTTAGGCCAACTTCTGCAGTCAAATTGGATGATTTTATGTTTTTTTATTTTTTGGTAACGTTTGCTCAGAGGCTGGCTGGATGTTTGGCTTCATGCTTTGCTTCGGTTTACCTCGTTTTAATTAGTATTTGATCAAACTCTCTGGAGGACGAAGGAATCCGGTGACGGATGTTATCCATTGTGATTCCGGTTGATGGGGCCACATAAAATGTTCACCTTTAGCTAAACTTGCTGCTGACTTCTTATCCTCAGGATTGTGCTTAATATAAAACAGATGATTCAAACCAGAACTCCTTATTAATAAGCACCTTATTAGCAATCCGTTATGGATGCAGCTGGAAGAGACTCGCTCAATAAGAGAAGTCCTGTTAGAGAGGAATAGGTGTCAAATAATACAGTCTAGATTCTGACAGGGTTCATCCGGTAGGGTGTTGTATGGAGTGAATTTTGATCCATTATTGTTGCAAGCAAATTGCTATTTTGAAAAAACAATTTTCCAAAAAAATAATACTTTTTTTGTAAATTACAATAAAAAAGAATGCAATTCAGCATTAAACATTTGGAAAACTTTCTGNTTTTCAGAAACTCTTTTTAAAATCTTTATTTTTTTTTATATTTATATAATGTATGGAGTGAATTTTGATCCATTATTGTTGCAAGCAAAATCCAATTTTGAAAAAACTATTCCCCCCCAAAAAAATACTTTTTTTTGCAAATTACAATAAAAAGAATGCAATTCAGCATTAAACATTTGGAAAATTTTCTGATAAAAAAAAAAGATTTTGATAGTAACTTTTCTCAGATTTTTTTTTTTTCAGAAATTCTTTTTAAAATCTTTATTTTTTTTTCTATTTATATATATAATGTATGGAGTGAATTTTGATCCATTATTGTTGCAAGCAAAATCTAATTTTGAAAAAACCATTTCCCCCCCAAAAAATACTTTTTTTGCAAATTACAATAAAAATGAATGCAATTCAGCATTAAACATTTGGAACACTTTCTGATAAAAAAAAAAGATTTTGATAGTAACTTTTCTCAGATTTTTTATTTTTTTCCCCAGAAATTGTTTTTAAAATCTTTTTTTTTTCTATTTATATATAATAATTATAATATAATATAATAATATAATATAATTTTGATCCATTATTGTTGCAAGCAAAATCCAATTTTGAAAAAACAATCCCCCCCCAAAACAATATTTTTTTTTTGTAAATTACAATAAAAAAGAATGCAATTCAGCATTAAACATTTGGAAAACTTTCTGATAAAAAAAAAGATTTTGATAGTAACTTTTCTCAGATTTTTTTTTTTTCAGAAATTCTTTTTAAAATCTTTAATTTTTTTTCTATTTATATATATAATGTATGGAGTGAATTTTGATCCATTATTGTTGCAAGCAAAATCCAATTTTGAAAAAAATTATTTCCCCCCCAAAAAAATACTTTTTTTTTGCAAATTACAATAAAAAAGAATGCAATTCAGCATTAAACATTTGGAAAACTTTCTGATTTTTTTCAAAAATTCTTTTTAAAATCTTTGATTTTTCTCTATTTATATAATGTTTTCAATTTTTATTTCCTTTTTCTTTTTTAGATTAAGTTCTACGAATTCCATTCTAATTGCGTTTCACAGACCTCATTCTCTCCATTCTGAGGCCAATACCAACGCTCGTTAACTTTTGACTAGAATAAATACAAATTAAATCTGTAAAAAAAAAAACAAAGGCTTATGTTTACAAAATAAAATCCAAAATTATAAAATATGTTAAAAATATATATATTCTTTGTTTTTTAAAGTAAGAAAAAAAATGAGAAAATAAAAAAATCTGAGAAAACTGTAAAATTACTCTCCAAACCTTTTTTTTATTACGTTTTTCAAAGTTTCATTTGTTGATTTGATTTTTGCAACAATAATGGAAGAAAAGTCACTCCATATATGTATATCTCCAATTCCAGATGGAAAAGCTTTTTGGTGTAACTATGAAAGTTTGTTGTTGATGATAAGAGATGGTAGCTCTAACAGTCATCAGGTATTTGGTTAATTTAATTTCCCTTACCTTACTCCTTTCCTCCTCACATCGTGTTCACCTACCTTCTGCTACCTACTTCCTGTTTTGTTTTTTCCTGCCAAGTCCTGACATTTAGGGGGACTGAGCTCCGTAACGATGCAGGCGAAGATTGAGAGAGATAGTTTTTCTCTTCACCACTTTCTGCTCTACTCCAAATCATTTACCTTTTACTTCTTCATTGGAAACCTTTCAGTTTCAGAGGTTTTAATGGATACAGAGAATACATCATCGTCTTGTTCCTTCCTTAGTCACTTTCAATTCAGTGTTGGTATCTTTCAGGGCTGCAAAGCTTAAAGTCGGAATCATCAATTTAAATAAGTGCAATAAGTCTTAATGAGTTTCCCAAAGGACTGTTTGGATGCATTATTTCATAAAGTTTTCGTTGCCCTGCAAGGACACTTTTCACTGTCCTCCATTGGAGACAGCTGATCCAGATCAGGGGCTGCCATGTTTTTCCATGCAGTATTAGTTTTTTTAACACTTTTCCCCACTGGGGAACAAACCTTTGAACAAAATGTCAGCGATAAAAGGGAGTACTAGTAGATGTCATCATTATTTTGCTTTTAGTTCAAGTTTAAAAGCCCAGACTTTTCCAGATGGACCTTCCTTACATAGTGAAGAAGCATTAAAGTTCCCTGAGTGGTTCTAAATGTCTCATTCAAAAATTATTTTTAATTTTCCCTACAAGTTTTTGAGGCTCATTGGCGCCCCCTGGTGGTCCCTGATTAAAAATAAAAAAGAGAACGCGTCCCGGAAGCTCATCAACATTATGAACATCAATCTCAAGAAAAATTAGATTAATCTCAGTATTGACGTCACAATTTTCTTATTTTTTATTAAATAAGTTGAATTAAATTTTTAAATTAGTAAACATTCTGTCTGAATTAGCTAATAATATAATTATAAACATAGAGTAGCTCCTAGCAGCAGTGTACAGGCAGCCAGCTCCACTTCATAGTTTAAGATGTCTTTAATTAATTGAACAAAAGAGTAAAATCAAAATAGAACAGAAAGGTCTGCTTTAAAAACTAGTTAAGAGGACCAGTATTTTATAATTTACAATGATCCACCCCTGCAAGGCAGACATGCAGATGACCGGGGATGTGAGTGAACAGTTATTATGTCAGAGCTGCGTTATGATAGTTGTTACCTTTGGGCAGCTGCTGTGTTCAACAGAAGAGGTGATATAAAAAAAGAAAGTGCTCAAAGTAACAGAGATGATTGAAATGTTTGGGAAATTGCTTCTGTCACCCGTTTTCTGTGTGAAGTATCCTCTTCAAGCTGCCATTCAGCACGTCGTCTGGGCTGTGATTAGAATTTTCCTCCAGAAACTCTGTTAGAAAACATTTCTTGCCGGGTTTCCATTTAATAATTGAGGACCTAAAATATGAGTTGAAATAAAAGGAGTCTCTTGTGCTTCTCACAGATGATTACTTTTCCTACCTGCGTTCGGAGGGGGAATGTGTTTTTCTTTTTTTCTGGTAATCACTTCTGCTACGGATTGACCCAGAATGAATAAGCGTTTGCTTTTACACACAGAAACACTCCCCGTGTTCAGATTTCCCTGAACTTGGGTTTTCTAATTTGCAAGCTGGAAGGAGGAAGGCTCGACACATTTTATTCAGGCCGTCTTTGACAGGGATGTCTGATTCTTGGTTTCGGCTGTCAGATTTAAGAAGCATAGCTGTCAGTCCCCCCCTACCCCCCACCCCAAGCTGACAACTAATGCTTCAGGAAGAAAGTCCTGATGAGTCTCTGCATGTCCAGGTCCATCACCACCGTTACTGTCCTGAGCACAGCTGACAGGTAGTCGGGTCCCTCCGGCTTGATTTGACAAGCGTATTCTAAAGACATTTACAGTAATAACGACATGCAAAATGTATCGCCTGATGGAAAAAGGCCCTGACCCCATTTTGACTTTAGACTGCTTTCAAAATCGCTTCAATAAACCGCCCTGAATTCTAGTTAAGGCACAAATTTAGCTCCTGCTGTTAAATATGATCTATTAATTGGGAAAAAACTTCTTGAAATGAGTGTATTTGCCCTTCTTTTGAGCACATTAGTCAAATTATTTGCCTAATGAATGAGTATATTGGCTGCTAAAATAATATAATTTAACTAAACTTGACTTGAAAAATAAATGGGATTTTCCCCCCCCTATTTTAAGTGTAAAAATATTCTCCAGGCAGATGATTTTACTTTTTCAAATCAAGTGAAAATCCAATAATTTCAGTAACATAGATTAGAAAATACTTACTTTAAATTGTATATTTAAAGTATATCATCAATTAAAAATATTCCATTAACACATAGTGGAGACTTTTTGTCAAACTACACCAAAACTGAACAGATAATTGGGTTTTAACCCTGTTGTAATGCTTTCTAATCAAAAAAGTTTGCTAGGTGCAGCTAATTAATGATTTTAATCTAATTTTCCCTTCAGAAAATAATGACCAGGATTAAATATGCATAAACATAATATGCATCTAATATATTCCCCAATTTATAAAATAACAGACATTTTCTTAAGTAGTTTTTTGACCTGCATACACTACTGATGAGTGTTAGCTCAAAAAGACGATTGTTTTATTTTAATTAGCTCACGTCTGCGACGTGTTTTGCTAATTAGATTCAGGATTCCACTAATTTTTAGATTAAGAAATTGGGGATGAACTGGTAACAGTCATCAAGTAAAACTTATTTTTTTCCAGTTAGCTAGTGTGATTCATTTAGCATTAGCATTCTCAGCTAACTGCTAAAGCTAGTTTTTGCAGTTCAGACCAAATCACCGAGCAATATATAAACCTTAGTAGTTCTTTTTTTAATCAATTTAGTGAATATTATAGTATATTTTTTTATTTTTGTTATAATATTATACCATAAAAAGCTTTTGAAATTTTCTTTGTTTTGCTAAACTGGAATTTGTGACTCATTTAGCACTTTAAGCTAGCTCTATCCGTGTGTTACCTTATTCCAGTTTCTGAACTGCAGACAAGATCAAATTCAACTCCCTGTCAAAAATAATAATGGGTAAAATAAAATAAATTAGTAAAAAAATATAAATAATTTAATATTATGCATCTGGAGCAACATGGTGGGTAGTAATAGTTGTTGAGCACAGATTATATACTGTATAACCTTTTGGTGAAACTAACCAAGGTCTGGAAGAAAAACTTGTTCATCTTTGTAAGAAAATACAATATTCCACTTAAATGTCAGAAAAACTGTGCAAATTTGAGTGAATATATATATATATATATATATATATTTAATTGCTCCAATCATTGCAATGTTTCTCCATTTTTCATTGGCAGTTGTTATTTCGTTCATTTTTTTTTTCTTTGCTTGTGCTCAATTACATGGATGTTACCAATATGTCGGGCTTTCTGGCTTTTGTTACAAATGCTTCCCAGCTTGCTGTCAAAGCCAGAAACATTATTGTT